GCACTGATACTAGCGGGAAAGAAAAGACGGGCAAAACCGAAGAAAAGGTGGCGCGATGTCGTCAAGAACGATATGAAACTGCGTGAAGTCTTTGAATATCTAACCAATGACAGCAAAAAATTGGAGGTTGACTCAAGTAGTGGACCCCAGTTAAAGGGAACATGCTTAAAAGAAGAAGAACTGTATCATTCCCAAATGCTGAAAAGTGAATACTTGCTGTCCACTACAATCATAAACAAATCTAATCTAATATGTCTATATGAAGCATTGACTAAAAGTACTGGATGCAGCTACCACAGTTACGATTACCACGTGGCCAAACATAATCGCTAATGAATTAAGTACCACTGTGACCTACGAAAATTCTTTTGCCGGGAATATATGAATTGTAAATTTATAAATTCATAAGACTGTTCAATAAAACAATAAAAGTCTCCTGAGTGGCTGAATTTCAGACCTCAACAGGTCTAAACCGGTGCCTAAAATTTGCTCCTAGATGCTTGGGCTGTCGCATTTTTGCACTGCAGTTCGTAAATGCCTGTCACATCATCCTGTTAGTTGGAATGCCTGGCAGATCACCAAAGTTGCGTTATGAGCTAGTATTCCTCAAATGTTTTGGCAGAAATGTCAACGATGTTTTGACACTGCTACAAAAGCATGTAAGGAGTATCAGCTCTTAACACGACGCTAATGATGGACAAGACACTCCATCCAATAGAATCAAACAAAATAAAATAAATATGAAATACTTGTGAATTACTCATGGCCTCATTACTTATCGCATCACATGGTAGAACGATAATGAAGCAGTGGCGAATCGATGCTGCAAGGCATCGTTCTGTGCCAAAAGACTGAGGATGGTGTATGCCTAAGTGAGGCTATTAAAAGCTGTCTTTGAGTGCATTATCCCTATTTACACACAAGTAGTCGATGTTATTTTTTCACGACTGTTAACCAGAGACTTTAAATCAATAAAATGTAACTTATGACTAAGGGACCTTCCATACAACAACTTAGCCTAACGTGCTGCTGAGTCAGCAATCACGTATAGTATGAGAGAATGGTCACATTTTAAACAACTCATCTTCTTCACGACAGTCTTAGTCAGTGCCTATCACGCAGCGCTCCACCAGATTCAGATTTGTCAATGTTATATTCTGAATGGAGCTACATAAGTCATTCATCGAAGCTTGCCTTCACAGACTGCAACGTTGTGCAACAACAGTCTCAACAATGTTCAGTGTAGGATTATTTATTTTTCTAGTGCTGTGTCATGCTGTTCCTAGTTTGCTGTTTTCGTTTCATTTAAGCTGAAATACGCTGTCTCTATATGACAGCAGTTAATAAATAAAACTTAAACCATAAATTTATTTGAAACCATGCGTTCATATACCACTAGTAATGACTTATTTTAATGCCACTAAATACTCAGAAGCGTAAGGCAGTGTCATGACACTATGAGAATTAATTTGTTAAAGTTAATGGCTTATTAGCATACTGTAGTATGAACTCATACTTGTTAACATGAAATTGCATCAATGCTTTCCTGATTAAGTTATAGCAATTCATTTAATAAATTCACCACAGGCCTTAACTTTTGACTTTGT